GACGTACCTCTCCTTAGGGCCAGATTCTCCGGGAACAAAGAGTTCCGGAAAAATGTTATCCAGGTACCATTTGAACGATTTGCAGCCCAAATCCGAACGAAGCTTCTTTCTGGCAGAGACATCTCCGAAATCGCCCTGAAAATGGCGAAAAATGGGTGACTAAATCGGTTGAAAATATGAGCTGAAAATGGCTAAGCATAGTTTGAAAAGTGCCTAAAATTCGTAAAAATAACTAAAATTAGTTTTAAACAAAAAACGTTTAAAATCAGCCAAAAATGACTTAAAATCCCACAAAAATGGCTGAAAATGAGCTAAAATAGGCTGAAAATCACTCAAAATAGGCTGAAAATGAACTAAAAGTGGCTAAAAATGGCTTAAAATTGGCTTAAAATAGGTTAAAAATGCTATTAAATCGGTTGAAAATGACTTAAAATCAGTCGAAATCGGATTAAAATAGGCTACAATGACTTAAAATCCGTCAAGATTGGCTTAAAATCAGTCAAAAATGGCATAAAAATCACTCAAAAATGGCTGAAAATGAACTAAAATTGGCTAAGAATAGCTTAAAATTGGTTAAAATAGGCTTAAAATAGGTTAAAATGGCATGAAATCGGTTGAAATGGCATGAAATCAGTCAAAAATGGCTTGAAATGAGCTAAAAAAAGCTGAAAATTACTTAAAATTGGTCAAAATAGGCTTAAATTAGGTCAAAATTGGCTTAAAATCAGTCAAAAATGGCCTAAAAATCACTTAAAACTGGCTGAAAATGAACTAAAATTGGCTAAAAATATCTTGAAATTGGTTAAAATGGCATAAAATCGGTTGAAAAGAAGCTGAAAATTACTTGAAATCGGTCAAAATTGGCTTAAAATCGACTATACATGGCTTAAAATCCGTCAAAAATGGCCTAAAATCGGTCAAAAAAGGCTTAAACTAGGTTAAAATGCCATTAAATCGGTTGAAATGGCATGAAATCAGTCAAAAATGGCTTGAAATGAGCTAAAAATGGCTGAAAATTAGTTTAAAAAGTTTAAAATCAGTCAAAATTGGCTTAAAATGAGCTGAAAATGGCTGAGAATAGGTTGAAAATGGCTGAAAATTCGTCGAAATCGCCTATAATCGGTAAAAATAAGCTGAAAATCGGCCAGAAAAGGCTTAAAATCGACTATACATGGCTTAAAATCAGTCAAAAATTGCCGAAATTCGGTCAAAATGGGTCCAAAATGTCCAATTTTCTCACATTTTCATTCATTTTAGAGACTTTTAAAGGAAGTTTTTGGTTTTTTGAGCCATTGTTCAAGCGATTTCAATGTGTTTTTGACAATTTTCAACCACATTTCAGTCATTTTTGAGCCATTTTACACCCAATTTCAGCACTAAAAACTCACCAACTGATTATTGATCCTCTCGTAATAGTACGTCTTATAATCGTCCAACCAAACTTCAGCCAGTCGAATCGAATTCCTCTTCAACACGTTGACTCCCGTCCTCCATTTGTATGGTGATCGTTTCCGGAAGACGTGACCGACATGAGAGCATGGCACGATTTCCAGCGTTCCTCCACACATCCAAATCTGCAATTTTCAGCTAGTTTCAGTCATTTTCACCTCTTAGAACTACAAATTTCGATTTAAAACTATTAAAAACAAGCTTCCCATCGTTTTCTACCCCGGGAAACCAATGTTCAGCTCGCTAACTCTATTTGTCGTGAAATTTGGTGTTTTGTCCGCAAACACTTTTACCTACCCGGTGTTTGCAGATCAGACACTGAATTTTACGACAGATTGAGATAGCAAGCTGAAAATTGGTTTCTAGGAGTAAAAACTGATGGGGAACTCGATTTTGACAATTTTAAGTCGAGATTTTGAGTGTTTAGCTCATTTTCAGTCATTTTCACCCTTTAAAACTGAAAATTTCTATTCGAAACTAGCAAAATCGAGCTTCCCATAGTTTTCTACCCTTCAAAACCAATTTTCAGCTCGCTAGCTCAATTTGTCGTGAAATTTGGTGTCTGGTTCGCAAACACTTTGATCTACCCAGTGTTTGCAGATCAGACACTAGATTTTACGACAAATTGAGCTAGCGAGCTGAAAATTGGTTTCTAGGGGTAAAAACTGATGGGGAACTCGATTTTGATAGTTTTGAGTCGAAATTTTGAGTTTTAAGCTCATTTTGAGAAAATTTTCTGTCAATTTTCTCACCTTAAACGACAACTCCAAATTCTCGCCACCCCAAATATCGAATCCGGGATCGTAGGTTCCCAGCTTTTCGAAATACTTCTTATCAATCGAGAACAGACCACCAGCCATCGTTGGTGATCTAACCGGATCGATAGCCCGTGTTCTGTTCTTTCGATCCCTCTCAGGAATCGAGTGCCAATTGAACTGAAGACCCCAATCGAAACCGCCCACACTTGTGAAATAGGCTTTTGAGTGGTGATACTCGAAGGTGTTATCATCGATGACGTCGATTACAGGGCAGACTACTGTAGTTGGGTCCCGCTTGATTCTGTCGAGGAGCGGCTCGATCCAGCCTGGAAAATTACGATTTTTGGTCGATTTTAAGTCTATTTTAAGCTTGTTGAGGGGGAAAACCAGCCAAAAATCGCCTATTTTTGGTCATCTTTGGCCCATTTTTAGGGATTCTTGAGCATTTTTAGTCAATTTTTGGTCATTTTTAATCTAGTTTCATTCAAATTTGGATGACTTTTAGTCTATTTTCAGATATTTTTAGTCAAATTTGGTCTATTTCAGTCATTTCTAATTTAGTTTAATTCAAAATTAGTTAATTTTTACTCATTTTCTAAGCCAAATTTGAGCAATTTTTTGTCATTTTCGTATTATTTCAAACTGAAAAATTACGGAAATTTTGCAAAAAATCAGTCAAAAATTTTTGATCATTTTAAGCTAAATTTCTACGTTTTCGGCCATTTTTCGATGCATTTTTAGTCATTCCAGGTCTTAATTAAATGATTTCTAGCCTATTTTCAGTCATTTTTATCTCCTATAAACTGAAATTTCGCTTTGAAACTATCAAAAACGAGCTTCCCATCGTTTTCTACTCCTGGAAACCAATTTTCAGCTCGCTAACTTTATTTTTCGTAAAATGTGGTGTTTTGTCTGCAAACACCGGGCAGATCAAAGTGTTTGCGGACCAAGCACCGAATTTTACGACAAATTGAGCTAGCGAGCTGAAATTTGGCTTGCAGCGGTTAAAAGTGACGGGAAACTCGATTTTGATAGTTTCGAGTCGAAACTTTGAGTTTTCAGCCAATTTTCAGACTCTTCCGGATAAAATTAGCAGGATTTTAAGACATTTTCAGCCATTTTTTCGACTATTTTACGTTAATTTTTGCTCAATTTTGGTCTAAAAGTTAGCTGATTTTTAGACGATTTTAAGTCAATTTATAAGCGTTTTCAGGACATTTTTAGTCTATTTTTTAAGCCAAATTTGAGCATTTCTAGACGATTAAGCGTCAATTTTTGAGCATTTTCAGACAATTTTCAAGACCAACACCACTCTCTTACCTTCCATACACTCGCAATGTGAATCCAAATACGTCAGAACCTCTCCGGTAGCGATTGCAGCGCCTCGAAGACGTGCTCGAATCAATCCCTCTCGTTTCTCCATTCTCAGAATCTTGACCTTCCCCCCAAACTGTGACATATACTCCTCCAATGGTCGTTTCGTATGGTCCATATCCGAAAAATCGTCGACTAGGACAATTTCTTCGAGAAGGTGCTCTGGGGTTCGTTCCAAAACCGAATGGACGGTACGGAGGAGGACAGACCACGCTTCGTTGTGGAAACAGACGATCACTGAGGTGCGAGGAAGGTTCTCATTGTATTTTTCCGTTTTGCATCTGGAAAATTTATATAATTAATTGGGGGTAATTAGGGGTAATTATAGGGTAATTTTTAAGTGAAAAAATAGCAAAAAATAGTCAAAAATAGGTTACAAATGCGATTTTTCAAGCTAATTTCAGCCATTTTAAGCTTGTTTTAAGTCCATTTTTTTAGGCTGTTCTGAACCATTTTTGGCCCATTTTCGATTATTTTTAGCATGTTTTGGAGCATTTTAAGCCTAATCTGAACAATTTTCGGCTGCTGTTTAGCATATTTCGAATTATGTTTGGTCCATTTTGGGTCAATTTGAATCATTTTCGTCCTATTCTCGACCATTTTTGGATCATTTTCGGCTAATTTTGGACCTTTTTCGGCTAATTTTGGACATTTTTAGACAGTTTTGAACCATTTCAAGCCTTTTTAGGCCATTTTCAGCTTACTTTGGGCCATTTTTAGCCTATTCTGGGTCATTTTTAGCTTATTTTGTGTCATTTTCAGCTTATTTTGGGCCAATTTTAGCCGTTTTTGGGTCATTTTAAACTTGTTTTAAGTCCATTTTAGTTTATATTAAGGATAATTTTTGTGCCTAATTATGGGCTGTTTTGAACATTTTTGGCCTATTTTCGATTATTTTGGGCTCATTTCGAATCATTTTAAGCCTTTTTTCAGCAATTTTGAACTAATTTAGATCATTTTCTGCCTATTTTAGACCGTTTTCAGCCTGTTTTGGAATGTTTTCGGTCATTTTGGGTCAATTTGAATCACTTTCGTCCTATTCTGGACCATTTTTTGCTCATTGTGTAGATTTTTTGGCTTTTAAGCCTTTTCTCAGCAATTTTAAACTATTTTTGGATCATTTTCGGCCTAATTAGTACTATTTTAACCTCATTTTGGACCATTTCATGCCATTTTTAAACATTTTTAGCATGTTTTGGAGCATTTTAAGCCTAATCTGAACAATTTTCGGCTGCTGTTTAGCATATTTCGAATTATGTTTGGTCCATTTTGGGACAATTTGAATCATTTTCGTCCTATTCTGGACCATTTTTGGACCATTTTCGGCTAATTTCGGAAATTTTCGACAGTTTTGAACCATTTTAAGCCTTTTTTGACTCATTATTGGCTTATTTTAAACAATTTAAAGCCTGTTTTGGACTATTTTAGACTATAT